GTGTTGAAATCTTTTCCAATGAAAAGGGATGCTGCAATCATCAAAACTGATGAATAAACTGTAGGAAGCAGTGCTCCAATTCCAGAATCAAGTCTATGGTTCTGCCTGAGTGTATAAATGTCAAACATCCCTTTATTCAAAATCCCTTTATTAAAGCTGCTGTTACACTTTTAGATTTCAGTATCAGTCCTGGATGAATCACAAACTGGAATTAAGATTGCCGGGAAAAACATCAACGGCCTCAGATATGCAGACGATACCACTCTAATGGCAGAAAGTGAAGAGGACCTAAAGAGCCTCTTGCTCAGAGTAAAAGAAGAAAGTGCAAAAGTTGACTTGAAACTCAACATCAAAAAAACTAAGATCATGGCATCCGGCCCCATCACTCCTTGGCAAATAGAAGGGGAAGTCATGGAAGCAGTGACAGAATTCACATTCATGGGATCCAAGATCACTGCAGATGGTGACTGCAGCCATAAAATTAAAAGACGCCTGCTCCTTGGGAGGAAAGCGATGGCGAACCTAGTCAGCATAATAAAAAGTAGAGACATCACCCTGCCAACAAAAGTCCGCATGGTCAAAGCAATGGTATTCCCAGTAGTAATGTATGGCTGCAAGAGTTGGACCATAAGGAAGGCTGAGCACCGAAGAATAGATGCTTTCAAATTACGGTGCTGGAGAAGACTCTTTTATTATTGTTGTTGTTGTTTTTGTTGTTAATTTCCAAGCACAAGAAACAATTACAGGTTTCATACATTAGGAGGAAATCATTACATTAAACGCTTTTTCTTTGATTATTACAGGCAGTCCAAACACATTGTTTTGGCGAGTCACAATCATCGAAACATTGATATTACTTTTACTGTGGGCTTGGAAAGATTATTACTCTATCTACCTTCTTCTTGAGGCTTTTCTCCCTCCATAGCTTTAAACACTGTCATTTCACTTGTCTTCTAATGTTTAAACTATTGTAAACCATTAAACTTAAACTAGTATATTGACACTTATCTATCTTAAGTTTTTCTGTTCTGCTTATTATTATCAGCTGTATATCTGTTCAGCTTACATCTAGTTTGTATATATAAACTACAAGCAAAGTGAATTGGTGCTCAAGTTACATTATATCTTATTTCTTGGAAACGTCCCCAAGAAAAGCTTCCTTCCTAGGAGTTTGTGTTCACTGAACGAGTCTCGGCCGTCTCCCACGGTTCTTCCTCCTGTGGAAGTGCTGCAGACTCTCCCATTGGGAGGGTTGGGGGAGGAATCCCTGGAAACCTAGCATCACCACCATTCTCGAAGTTCGTTATATACCTTTAAGTCTGTCGAAATACTTAAAGTTATGATAATTTCTCCAGCCTTGTTTCAAAGTCCTTTGTTGTTAGGGCTGCCAAGTGGGGGCGGGGGCGGGTAACCCCCCGCTTCGGAGGCCCGATTTCCGCTGCCGCGGAATCGGTCCCCAGGAGGAACTCTGCCCCCCCCCCCGAAGCACAGCGTGGCTGCATCACGAAGGTGACGTTTGGCGCGTGGCCCCGATTGTCAGAGAGAAAACTCTATGGTTTTCCCTCTGACGATCGGGGCCATGCCTTCAACATGATCGACGTCGCGCGTCACTTCTGGTGATGTGCTGCCGGCGCACGCGCGCAAAGCGCGCACAATAATCTTCAGACAGCTCCCAGAGCCCGGCGAGGCTCCCCCACCGGTAAGCAAAATAGACTTGGCAACCCTATTTGTTGTGTCTCTTTTTGTTTCTTCCTGCTTTAGTTTTTCATTCCTGTTGTGTCTCTTCTATTTCCTTTATTAGCTCTTCTTCATTCTTTATGTCATATACTGTTAGTATTTTTCCGCGAAAGTGCCCAAGTGGGAGTCACCTCTATCGCTGTTTCATTTTATTTAGCTGTTGCGCTATCAGACATAGTTTGCATCTGGCAGTCAGTATTTCAACTGGCAAGTTAGGAAACACTTGGACTGTAGTGTCTATTAGTTTCAGTCCTCCATTTATCCTTGCCGTATCCAAAAGGATTTTTTTTTAGTTTTAATATCTATGATTTCAGTGATTACATCCGGGATTAATGTCGGTGAGGTAGCACATGTCATGTTAAGCCTACAGGCATTTACTACAATTGTTCCTGGTAAGTGGGGGAGTCCCGACAGCCGTTGATTTAAAGCTGTAGTTATTTCTCTGTTCATTCCAAAGTTGGGCAAAACTCCTCTGAATTGTAATTTACGTTCTCTTACTTTAGTTTCTAATAACATTATCTTCGATTTTGCCCATTTCAAATGTTTTTAGTTCATTTAATTCCTGAGCTTTTCTTTTTGGTTTCGTCAAGAGCTGTATTTGCTGTACCTTCAGCTTCTTTAACTTTGTTTGTCAAATCATCTATTTTGTTAAATAGAGGTGTTATTATTTCTTTGATTTCTGTTTTTAAATCAGTTAGTATTTCTTGTATTTGCTTTTTTGTAATAGAGTTCTCTCTTTTGCTTTTCCCCACACATACCTCTTCGGTATCTTCCAGCTCCATTTCTAGAGTGGGGGGGTGAGGAGTCTCCCTCGGAGGATTCCAATTCCACTCTTGTGCCTTTAGAAGTTGTTTTTGGTTGTGCTTTTTTGTTTGTCCGTGCTCCTTTCAGTTTCCCCATATCTTGGGCTCAGTTTTAATGTTTTCCAGCTGTGGGAAGTTGATTTTCAATGAGTTTTTCAAGATAGTGGTGCAGAGGTTGCTCCAGGAGCGATCGTATGCTTTGCTGGTCACCACGCCCCTGTCCATGCTGGAGAAGACTCTTGAGAGTCCCTTGGACTGCAAGGAGATTAAATCAGTCAATCCTAAAAGAAATCAACCCTGACTGTTCTTTGGAAGGCCAGATATTGAAACTGAAGCTCAAATACTTTGGCCACCAAATGAGAAGGGAGCACTCCCTGGAGAAGACCCTGGTGCTGGGAAAGATTGAAGGTCAAAGAAGACGGGGACGGGAAAGGATGAGATGGTTAGGCAGTGTCATAGACGCAACCAACATGAAGTTGAGCCAACTTCAGAGGACGGCAGAAGACAGGAAGGCCTGGCATGATGAGGTCCATAGGTCACGAAGAATCAGACTCAACTGTGCGACTGAACAGCAACAACAGCTGATCTCAACAGATGCTGGAGGCTAGCATGGTCAGCCCTGGTTAGTATTTGGATAGGGGACCAGACTACCAAGGAATACCAGGGTCTCTACACAGTGGCAGGCAATGGCAAACCACCTCTGAATGTCTCGTGCCTTGAAAACCCCACGGGATTGTCATAAATCAGATGTGACTTGGCAGCAGAGAGAGAGAGAGAGAGAGCCTGCAGAGGTATCCTTTCAGAGTTCAGTGTAGGAGGCTCTCAGATATCAAGAGTCTTGGGAAAAATTAAAGGCCTGATCTTGGATACACCAAATTTCACAAAACAGAGCCTATATTGTGGTGTGTGGGACAGTTCTGGAAATTGTGCAATGTGCCTTTAAGAGATACTGTCTATTTTTCTGGCCTGGCCTAGTAGTTCCAGCTTAATGGTTGTGGTTAGCAGTAGGCTCCAGGCCTGGTTGTTCATAAGTAGCTGTTTCTCTTTCGTTACACTTGGTACCTCATCTTTTGGTCTCCAACAAAGTTAGCTGAGACCTCATGTTGCCTTTGTGTGAAGCCAGTACTTAACATATGCATATTATGTATGTAATAACTATAGCAATATTGTAGGGTTGCCAGCCTCCAGGTGGGGCCTGGAGATCTCCCGCTTTTTCAGTTCATCTCCAGCTGACAGAGACCAGCTCCCCTGGAGAAAATGGCTGCTTTGAAGGGGGGACTCTGTGGCATGGAACCATGCTGAGGCCCCTCCCCTCCCCAAACCCCACCCTCTCCTGGATCCACCCCCAAAGTATCCAGATATTTTCCATCCCAGACCTGGCAAACCTACAATATTGGCTTACCTCGCTTACCAATCACCCCTTTTTTTAGTAAAAGTAGCTTGTTTAGGACCCTGCGAAATATTCAGGGGTGAATATAAGAACATAAGAGATGCCAATGTTGGATCAGGCCAAAGGCCCATCCCGTCCAACACTCTGTATCACACAGTGGCCAGAAATACCAGCTGCCATCAGGAGGTCCACCAGTGGGGCCAGGACACTAGAAGCCCTCCCACTGTTGACCCCCCCCCCCAAGCACCAAGAAGACAGAGCATCACTTGCCTCAGAGTCCTTATCTATACCTTGTGGCTAATAGCCACTGATGGACCTCTGAATATGTTTTACTCAAGAGGAATTATGGGGCCTGCACAATTTTCTCTCTATAAGATTCCCCAAAACCGTCTCCTTTTTTGTGTTTATCCACTCCTGTTCACTGCTCCTTTAGTAAGTGTCATGCTCACTCTGAACAGACTTCCTGATGATGCCCTGTGGCCAATCGGATTTGGCTGTGTGATGTCACCAGCCCAAATCCGAGAGAGGGCAATGCTTCCTGCCCTCATTCTAAATAGGAAAGCATTTTTAGTCCAAGCCCAAATTTCAACATAAAAGAAGACATGTGGTTTTTGCAATGCTTTATTAGGAATGTCTATATGTGATCTGAATATCAAACAAACAGCAGGGAGACAGCAAACAAAAAAGAAAACTTTGTACAGTGCTACCATACGTAACTTGAATATGGATCAATTACACAATAATTACTAGCTTTTCATTTTTGAAAGAGTCTTTCCCATTATTGACAACAGCACTGAAGGGTCAAAACAGATGGGATACTGAGAGAGGTATGACCGGATCTTCTCAGTAGCCTTAGTTAGTCATTAAAACTGTGGCCCTCAAAAAATGTGTAAGGAAAAACTGCACAACTCACAATCCTTCCAGTACTTGAGGTTGCCATTGTGCATGAATCGACCAAAAATAGACAAAACAAATATCTGGATATCCAGTCACGAGTATGGAAGTGGTAAAATTTGTGCGTTGCCCTCTTACTACAAAATGGTGACCGCGCCTATCGGGAAGCTCATAGGAAGTGCCATAGTCCCCTTATGCATGGGTTGAGCCCAAAAATTAGAACCGAATGGAGCTAACAAAGGCTCTTGATTTAGAGGGAGGCCACATAGGGGAGGAAAGATAATTCAGTACCCAGGCTGTTGACTAAAATCACGCTCTCTCACATACACACAGCCTTGAGAGAGAGAACAAAGAAAAACAAAGCTAATAGGAGCACGGGGGGGGGACTTCCATTAGACAAAACCATAAGAAAGTGAGAGATTAAACCCCTACAGGCCTTCAACTCAGAATTTACCTTTACAAGATGCCAAATTATCTGTGATCTCCTCCTTGTTTAGTTTGATCCTACGTAAGATTTGTACAATTCCAGTAATGGTTCCAGTAACATACTGGTGTTCTAGCTACGTAGATTTTTAAAGATCTGTTGCAGTCATTTGGAGTTTTGTCCCCCAAATTCTAACAATTACCCTGGACGAGGGAGAAATTAGCTGCACTGTTTTAAAAGTCAAAATGCAAAACACAATTTCCATGCTGCCGAAGAAAACTACACATATCCACTTTGAATACCTAGTTCAAATAAGAGCGTCATATGAAATATGAAATCATATATCCTACTCGAACAATGAAACCTTTTAGGATTACCTTTCAGAATTTAATACTTGGTTTCAAAGGTTTATAGAAAAAGGGAAGTAATGTATATATATATTTATAAATCTGGATTTTATCGTGTTTAAGGAGAACAGAATCTGCCAGCAAAAACAATACTGCGCGTTTTGTTGTGCCTAAAGAAGAAGATAAATGGATGGTCAGCTCTAAATTCATCTTTGTGTTGTAGGATCCGGTATCCCGGCACATCTCGGGAGTCTGCCCCTTCTTCTACTACTTCCAGTGAGACTCTGTGGATAACCTTTGACAGAACCACCCCTTTGGTCTCCGACATTTCAGAGAAATCCGATGTATCCTCATCAAACATCTGGGTCATACCAAGGCTTTCTAAAACAGGCTTCAAATTGTACTCCCCACTGAGCTTGAACTTGGGCATAAACACATTCACTTTTGTGTTGGCCATCACACTGGGATTGGTCCATTGTAGCAGTTTCTCTGGACAGAACTCCTTCTCGAGCTGAAAATGTAAGACGATTAGAATATCAGTACAACTGGCCTTAAACTAGGCAAGACCTATAATGTTTTTTTGGACAATTTAGTGCAGTGCAGTTATCTAATACCCTAATCTTGTTTGTATACTTAGCTATGACTGTATACAACAGGAGTCCACAACTGTGTTGAGACTGTGGGCATTTTGGGAATTTTAAAAACTGTTTGCTGCCCTCCAGGGACTCAGTAAGCTCCTATTTTTCCTTCCTACAGGGGTAGCAAATACAGTGGGGTCAGCAAGCACCTGGCAAACCATTATTCATACTTGATGACTGCATAGATCACAAATTGGGCAGGCCTGATTGGCTGTGGTGCTATTACACCCTCTCCCCTCATCTACCAATACAATTCTATTTAAAGTTGTGGAGAGCCACTACTAAATTGCATTTTGTGATGTCTGTTGTCACCTGGTTGAAAAGAAACTTGTTATGACGTGAGCCGATGATGTAGCATTTTGCTGGTGTAGAACCACAAACGATATTACACCTTAGGGTTCTTATGAACATAACAACCAGATGCAAAGAGCCAAATAGATATGAATAAACGTGCTTACATCTAAACACAGTATTGTTAAGTATATCAAGCATCTGGATGCAGAACGTAACTCTTCCTCAATTGTGTCAAAGACATCTTCTAAATGGACAGAATGGCCATATCTAAATCTTACTTACTCTTCTTCGATTGTATCAAAGACATCTTCTAAATGGGCAGAATGACCATATCTAAATCTGGAATTCACTGTACTGGTTACCAGTTTGCTTATGATTTCAATTCAAGGTGCTCATCTTGACCCTTAATGTTCTAGATTCAGCACACCTGAAAGCCTACCTCTTGTCAGATCCCTGGAGAAATCAGTTCCCAACAACAGTCATTCAAAGGAATAAAAAGTTTATTGAGACACTGATAGGATCCAAGCTCTTAACATTTCTGTGTTAGATGTTAGAACTGGGGGAAAGCACGCAAAGCAACAATTATACTTAAATCAAGCAGGACCCTAATAGCCCGGGGCCAATCACACCTAACCTAAAGGCCCACCTAAATAATAGCCTATAGTTCCCAGGGGAAAGAGGACACCAGTCTGGACTGGGGCTCAAAGTTACATGTCTGGGCCGAGGAAGATAACAGCAAAGAGGCCAGAAACAAAAGTGTACATTCTTCTCACCCCACACGTCCCCATGGCAACCAAGCCCAAGAAAGGGGGGGCGAAGTTGACACTAGAGTTGCCAGGTCTGGGTTGGAAAATACCTGGAGACTTTGGGGTGGATCCGGGAGAGAACGGGGTTTGGGGAGGGGAGGGGAGGGGCCTCGGCATGGTACAATTCCATAGAGTCCCCCCTCCAAAGCAGGCATTTTTTCCAGGGGAGCTGGTCTCTATCAGCTGGAGATCAGTTGTAAAAGCAGGAGATCCCCAGATCCCACCTGAAGTCTGGCAACCCTAGTTGACACCCTGCCACTCTTTGGTGTCAGAGGGTATTTTTTATGGAAAGCGCACACGAGCCTCGGCTCAGACCATTTGAACCCACTTGGTCACTAATTTCTGACCAACAGGCATTATTGGTGGTGGTTTTCATTTCCCAGAACCTTTCAACAGCCTCTTCATCTATGACTTCTATTCTTTGGAATTAGCTGCCAGAAAAGAAAAGAAAAAAACCCTGAAAAGTTTATAAAGCTACTATTTTTCAGCTGTCCTTTAGCTGAAATTTTTTATTATACATCTCTCTCATCTGCTCTCTTTGTACTATATGTGTATTGTAACTTTTAATAGGTTTTCTAATTTTGGGGGGGGCCTGGCGAGATCTTGTCCATAGGGTCGCGAAGAGTTGGACTCGACTGTGCGACTGAACAACAACAAAAAAAGCAATTATTCATTAAATTAATTATTGGTGTTTTCTACCTGCTCCAAGCCAGTAGTATCATCCTCAATATCTTTAGGCAGTAAGATGAGCATACTTATGTGCTTGTTATGACAGGGGAGTTCCAGAATCTTGGTTTTTAAATCATTTATGTAACCAAGGCAAAACGTGGCTTCCAAGTTCATCATCTCCACAGGTTTGGTTTCAGTCTGTTAAGAACAAAGAATTTGCTTATTATTAATTACAAGTGGGAACCTGCAAGGATTTGCAGGAGGCATCTCATTTCCCCCTCCACCACTATTTCCTCTTGTCCTTTCCTGAAAACCTCTATAACCTCTCCCCTTTACCTGCTTCCTCCTCTCCTTTCCACCCAGCATCCAACCTACATTTATCTGTCTTCACCTAGGAAAATTCTGGCCCAGTTGTGTGGTTGTGGCCACTGGGCCAGGCCCACTTGCATAGGAGAGGACCCTCAAGGACTTGGGGGGGGACCTCACTTTCCCCTGTATCCCCTGCCTCACACTAGTTCCTCTTTCCCTCCTCCAGGCCACACCCCAATCCTCTCCCTTTTCCCTGCTTCCTTCTCTCCTTCTCAGCCATTCACCAGCCTACCTTTTATCTGCCTCCCATCTTCAGCTGTATTGTGTATTTACTTCTTTTATAGCCTGCCTTTCTCCTCAGTGGGGACCAAAGCAGCTTACATAATTTTCCTCTCCTCACAAAAATCCTGTGAAGTAGATTAGGCTGAAAGTATGTGACTAATCTAAAATCACCCAGTAAGCTTCCACGGGAAGATGAGGGTCTGGATCCTCCAGACCCTACTCTGAAGTTCTAACCAGTACATCACACTGGCTTTTGTGCGGTGCCTGCTGTTGAACAGTGGCGAACAGCTAGGTCTAGTTGAGATCTGCAGATCAGGTCCCATCAAGTCACCTAGTGGATGCTACCAGGCCATGGTTGCCAACCTCCCATTGGGATCGGGAGATATCCCAGAATAACAACTGACCTCCAGACAACAGGGATCAGTTCTCCTGGCAAAAACTACTGCTTTGGAGGGAGGGCTGTGACCTTATAGCCAACTGAGGCCCTTCTCTTCCCCAAACCCTGCCCTCTCCAGACTCCACCTCAAAATCTCCAGCAATTTCCCAACCTGGAGTTGGCAACTCTAGCAAGGCCTGGCCCTAAGGTGTCCTCCTTCAAATGCCAAAACAGCCCTGGAAAGAGCCCAGCCACCTCCCTTTTACTCAGAGAAACCCAGCGTAGAATGCTGGGGTTGCCTAGCAACAGCCACAGAGAGAATCTGTTTGTTAAAGCTCCAGGTGGTCATTTTATGGTTTAGGGGGTTTTTAACCCCTCCAATATATATATTTTTTATTTCAGATTTTTCTGCAAACCTGGGGCATTTTTCAGGTTTGTAGAAAGATCCATCATGCCCGTTCACAGCTCCAGTCAACAGATTTAAGTATCCTCAGATCTGGCAGGCTTGGCTATTAGTATACAGATTGTTAATGATTCCCCATCCAGCATATTTTACCTTTGTACTTCGAGAACATGTGTAAGGAGGAAGGGAAGCCTAAGAGAGCTTCCTGGGAAAATCTACCAACTAACTGTTATATCTTTGCATGTTAGGGTTGCGAGCCCCCAGGTCTGGGAGGGGGTTCCCCCACTTCTGGGGACTTCAATCCAGTCCCGTAAAAAGACTTTTAAAATGTCTTTTTACAAGTGGAGCCTGTACCCATAATCTCCCCCTCCCTCTTGCTGGATTTAAAGGGCTGTCTAGCTGGTCTAGGGAGCTGCAGTGGCTCAAGTGGTTAAGACGCTGAACTGCAGGCTGTGGTACGTCAGTAGTTCAGCAGTTCGAGACCCGGGTTGCCGCATGACGGAGTGAGCTCCCGTCTCTAGTTCCAGCTCCTGCCAGCCTAGCAGTTCGAAAGCAAGAAATTGCAAGTAGATAAATAGGTACCCCTTCGGTGGGAAGGGAACAGCATTCCGTGCGCCTTGGTGTTTAGTCATGCTGGCCACATGACCACGGAAACGTCTTCGGACAGCGCTGGCTCTTCGGCTTGGAAACGGAGATGAGCACCGCAACCCTAGAGTCGGACTCGACTGGCTTTCGAGCAAGGGAACCTTTACCTAGCTGATCAGCAGGCCATGTGGTCCCTGCTGACCAGCTGAAACCCTTTAAATCAGGGAAGAGGGGTGGCCGGGTGGGTGGTCACTCTTGGGGGGTGGGGCGTGGGAGCATCCCTGCCCACCCTCAGAACGCCCCTCAAATCCCCCTGCCAGAGCGAGGAGGGGACCTGGCAACCCTATTGAATATATATGTTGCAAGAAATACGGGAGCCAGCATGATGGAATGGTTAGAGAGCTGGACTAGGATCTGCAAGACCCAGGTCTGAATGTCCATTGACCTTCAGACAGTCAACCTCTCTCAGTGTAACCTGCCTGATAGGCTTGTCATGAGGATCAAACCAGGAGTGGAAACTGATGTTGTAAGTTACCTTAGATCCCCATTAGGGACCAAATCACTAAATAAATAAATATAAATAGCAGTAAGTAAGGCCTTCAGTATAATATTACATTTATGTTTTGACATCAAAGTGTGGTGAAACCTTAGGTCCATATTTTGACATTCTGTTCTGATCATCCATGGACGGCAAACGTTAGCAAATTGCATTGTTCTTAGTGGGAGGGCTTGTATCCTTTCGTACCTTGCTTATTCTAAAAGGACATTCCTTGATTTGCTCCTCGGGGAATTTCTTCATCCAGTTTGTGGTAAAATAGGCTGCATTTATCAGAAGGATCTTTGTCTGGTCATTGACGGTCCCCTCGACCAAAATGTTCTCCATTGTACCTGTAGACCGAATGGAAATAGAGCTTCATTGAAAGATTACCCCAGTTACAATAAATCGAAGAAAAGGACAAAGTTAAACTCTTCTAGAGAATTTCAGTTCAGGCAGGTATTTATTTATTAGTAAAAAAATAAATAATAAAAACAAACCTAATTAAGTACCCAGATAGTTTTACATTCGCTTTACCCTGGCTTGGATCTTGAGTATCCTTTCCATTGCAGAAGAGGGGGAGTGCAATTTTTGCTGATTCCCCCCCCTCACTGCATCCCCTCTCTGACACACACCCCCCGGTAATGTTCCTGGGGGTCCACTGATCCAAGTTAGGCACAATATTGGGGGGGACTGAAGACTACAGCTGAAGGAGGGAGGCAAAACAGTCATCATTTATGCCAAGCAGGTCCTCTTGTGCTCCGTAGGACCTGAGTCTATATTTCTTCCCAGCAATTGTTGCAATCGAGCATGAATAAATCAAATGTTCAGGCCCAGTAAACCTGTACAACAGCCGACAGAAATAATGAATTTGGGGTGTTGCATATCCCAAGGGAATCTTTAGTTTCTGGTGCTATTCGTACAAGTGGTCGTCATGTCAGAGAAACACAAACTTCCGCTTCCACTTCAGCTATTTGCCTAAGTGAGCACACACACATATATGTCTCCAGGGTGACGCATCTCATTACCTTCCCAGAAGAATGTTTTCTGTATGTTGTTTTCCTACAGTATGGTGGCACTGAACACCAGCACATCGTTTGTGTACTAAAGCTTCTGTACAAGTGCTGATAATTCTACTAGCTTAAAGTTATCATGAAGTTCAAACTAGACAAAGTACATAGATCTTCCCTGCATTTTTAAAGATGAATAGCTGTTTGCATGATCCCAGTTCAAATCAGGACTCCAGGACAAGATGAGAAATTACAAAATTATGCATGGGATAGAGAAGGTAGAGAAAGAAGTACTTTTCTCCCTTTCTCACAATGCAAGAACTCATGGGCACTCAATGAAATTAATGAGCAGTAAGCTTAGAACAGATGAAAGGAAGTACTTCTTCACCTAAAAGAGCAATTAACACATGGAATTCACTGCTGCAAGAAATGGTGGCGGCTACAAGCATAGACAGCTTCAAGAGGGGATAGGATACATTTATGGAGCAAAGGTCCATCAGTGGCTATCAGCCACAACATATAGATGGAACATTCTGTGTGGGGCAAGGATGCTCTGTATTCTTGGTGCTTGGGGGGCAACCATGGGAGGACTTCTGGAGTTCTGGCCCTGCTGGTGGACTTCCTGATGGCACCTGGGTTTTGGCCACTGTGTGACACAGAATATTGGACTTGATGGGCCATTGACCTGATCCAACATGGCCTTGATGTTGCCCGTTGCCAGCAAATTTACAGACTGCCAGCAAAAAAAAAAAATGCAAACAAGAAATCTCCTATCTTCCTCTTGAGAAAAATATCCAAGCTCACTATTGTAATACATATTAAGAGTCATGATATCACAGAATATTTTCAGCATCATCTTCCTAAATGAAGTAAAGAAATATACATCAGGCACTGATTCTACCTTAATTCTGATGTATCTGTTGGAGTGAGAGGCACAGCATGCCTGGACATTGGGGGGTGCTACATCCTTCTAGGTGTGTATAGGTGTTATTTCCTTGAAGGGGATGCCTCTCTTTGTCTTAACCTGGGAGCTGCCCCCTGACCCCTCCTCTCTCCCTTGCTTTGTCCTCTCATTACTTCACATCAACTGTGGTCAGATGGGCAGTTCGGCCCGATATAGTTGTGTTACCCTAACGGATTAAATGGGCTCGTTCACACATCCACATCTGGCAGCCGTTCCCCAGTCATACTCACCCCGTTGTATGATTTATTTATTTTTATTTACATGGGATTTATATACCGCCCATGACCCCTAATGGGTCTCAGAGTGGTTTACAGCGAACTACTACATAGTTAGTACCTAGCTAGGGCCACACTTCTCTTGGGGAGGGGATATCCTACCAGCACCCATGCGGCATAATCTTTCTTCCTCTCCGGCGGACTCGTTCTTTTTTCGGCAATCCGGATGGCTGGTGACCAAGTCCAAGCAGGCTCTTGATTTTTCTCCTTCGGAGCGCCGCTGCTTTTTCAGGTGCAGCTTCCGGCAAACGTCCTGTCGGCTCCCGCCGTGCTGCGTCCCACGTCACCGCGTCGCTCCGGCTCTGGCTCCACCTCCACTCAATCCGGCCGCTGCCTCCCTGGATCGCTCGACTCTCTCCGCCGCCAATTTTCTCTCGTCTCTCGCCACCGCCGCCTCTCTCATTTCTCTCTGCCGCCGCCGCCGACCGCACTCCTGGCACAGAGCCAGGAGGAGGGTGCCCCCTGCCACCTATGGCAGGTACCCATTCCTCTTGTTATTACTAGAGCCGCTGGGTTGGCGGGAGCTGGGACGGGGGACGGGGGCTCAACCCGGCCGCGGTGGGGATTCGAACAGCCATTGTGGCTGTTCACTATTGATGTTAACCGCAGGCGTCGTACTGCCTGCGCCACCGCTCCCAGTTGGATATGGAGCAAATAGCCACCAGAGACAATCAGGTGCTTACAGATCCCCATGCATTGATCCCGCATTTCTGAATGACTGAACGTCCCCCAGTGTGTGCTCAAACTGTTTTTAAGTGTGAACCTTTAGTTCCAGTTTTGCTGTATTTTTTTTAACATGGCAGCACATATGTGCATATGCACACATGAGCACCCAAGAAATGTTCTCCAAAAAAGTCAAAGTTGTTATTTTTGAAAAAATATAAGACCAGACCATGCGCTCAGTGGTTGACGCACAGCACTAATTTGAACAGTCAACCATGGAAAAAGAACGCGGTGAGGCCAAATTAGGGTGGGAGTCTGATCAAAAATCTCCATCACAAAATGCAATGGCGTAATTAGTGGCACGCCCAAACCATGCCAACGTGCCAGTCTGACCACAACCATGGTCTTCCCTGAGGTGCAAAAATACCTCAGGTGGTTAGTTGAAGCTGTGAATGTAACTGGCTAGCTTCATGATTGAATGGGGATCTGAACTCCGAGGTTCAAGTCATGCTTTCTAACTACTACACTGGGCAGTTCTATGTACAGGCAAAATAATATTTCAGTACAATACGGATATGTGTTTTCGCTATGGCAATTTGTGTGGTTGGAAGCATTTTATAGGTTATTTTAACTGGGAAGTTTAATTTGAAGTTGCTAGCTACTCTGAGCTCTCTGAGTATTGAAGATACAAGCCTTTCAAAATATATACATTTTTTTTTGAAAGTACAATCATGGAAGAATTCACTTTTTGACAACATTAAGCAGGTTGGTCGATTAAGATGCACTTGCCGTCAGTTAAGTCAGAAACAGATTTGTTGATTTGTATTCTGGTGTCCTCTGTTTTGTCTTTAAAATCGACTAGCTCCAATTCTGATGGGAAGGGTCTTTTGACAGAACTGGTAAATTCCTGAAAAACAGAAGGAGAAACATTAAGTTCTGGTGTATCCTGGGAAAATAAAATTCCAAACACAGTGCAGTAGCCCTCTAGGCTTCAAGCTTACAGAGGCAACCTTTAATGGGATTGATCTCATTTAAAGAAGCTAGATTTATATAGCAATTTTTCTTCCACCATAAATCAAAATTTCTTTTTCAACGATGAGGACCTTGGTTTAATAAAGGGGGGAGCGTATTGGGCTTTTTATGGATCTCTCTTGGATGTTTAAAAAAAAAACTTTTATGGCAGGAGCAAAATGGTTGTGTGATTCTAACCTACAAGGAACCAACAGTAGAATATATCTCTTTATTCAAGCACATCTTTGAATGGGAACATCAAATCATAGCTGTGGCTCTTCCACACCCTCATTTTTGTAGATTATGTGTTCCTTTTGCTTCGGTTTTCTTTTTCTTTCCTGCATGTGTTGTGCTCCCTCTACTGGTCAATTCGATATTACATCGTTGTATGTCCGACACTTGAAATCTTTAGGGAAATATGCCAGGCATTCATAGATATAGTATCAAATTGACCCCTAGAGGAAATAAAACACATGTAGAAAAGGAAAAAAAAACATCAATAGGGATACACAAGTGATGAAAACGAGAGTGCAGAAGAGCCCCTAGAAGTCCTCCCAGCCAGCTTCTTTTATTGTTAGTGGCAGCCTGGCAAACCACTGACAAGGCTCCTCTCACTAGGGTTGCCAGGTCTGGGTTGGAAAATACCTGGAGACTTTGGGGGGTGGATCCAGGAGAGGGCAGCCATTTTCTCCAGGGGAGCTGATCTCTGTCAGCTGGAGATCAGTTGTAAAAGTGGGAGATCTCCAGGTCTCACCTGGAGGCTGGTAAGCCTACCTCTCACTGATCACTTGTGAACCAGCTAATGGCTGGAATATCTGCACAACTTGCAACCCCCGAGATGAATGCAGCCCACCAGTCATATCTGAAGCTTGACAAATCCTATTATATCTCATGTGTTTGTGGCCTGCCAGAGACTGTAAAAAAACATAGCATCTCTAATAGGATTATTACAGCCTGCAGTAATAGGATTATTACAGCCTACAGTAGATCCCATTGGGATAATAGGATTATTACAGCCTACAGTAGATCCCATTGGGAGGCTCAATATCTCAATATGCTGTGTATGATATCAAAAAATCGAGTATGTCATTGCACCGTCTCCTTTGAACTTCATTGTCCATTTTCACTTGTCATGGGTCTCTCTCTCTCTCTCTCTCTCTCACACACACACACACACACACACACACACACACACAAACCTCCAGTCCAGAGAACAATACCCAATTCATAATCCTTCCATGATAGGAGAAAATAGCACAATGGTACCAGTTGTATCAAAAAGGTGAAATCTGGGCAATATGCCATATATTCAATTCCTGTGGTCTCTAGACCTTCAAAAATTGTGATCTGTTAAACTAACTGCAATCCCCCCAGTCATGAATTGTGGCATATCATGAGTATGAAAAACTCCTTAATTCAGCAGTCCCAAGCAGTAACTTTCTGAGTGCTAATGCTGGAGATAGCCATAAAATAAGGAGGCGTTGGCCTGTACTTTCTGTTTGTAGGCCTCCTAGGAAAATCTGGTTGGCTACTGTGTGAACCAGGAAGGATGCCGGACTAGATGGGATGCTGGTCTGAACTAGCATAGCTGTTCTTAGGTTTTTTTATATTCAGGCAGACAGCTAAAGCTGAAAATTCAGTGAGACACTGAGGCTGCTGTAATTCGTAGGTGGCCAGAATGAAGGCTGGTGGTCCACCTATTGTGCAGGTCTGGTATGAACCTCGTGGTCATAATTATATCAACGTCATAAGGATTACACCAGACCTACACAACTTCATACAAAATTATATCCTCAATTTCACAAGGATTACACCAGACCTGTATGACTTCATATATAATCATATCCTCATGCATCTTCCATGCACACAGAATGTGATTAATATTCTTCAGCGCTAAAGAATTTCAGTAGGAATATTCATTTATCAACTGGCACGGATTGTTTTTATGGAAATCTGAAGTCTGATATAAATTAAATATGAAATACAGTGCTAAAATATACAGGGTGCACTCTGATTAATGTTTGGTGGGGCCAGGCTTTGTCCTGTAGTGTTTAATTAAAGATGCTTCGTTGAACATGTTCATAAGACACTTATAAAAGACACAAACAGTCATATGGAATAGAAATGAAGAGGCTGAGATACTGCTGCGTGAGCTTTCCAGACCTTTCTACATTGTCACACCACATCATATAGATTATAAATATAATTTTGCGTTCTTTTGATTATACATGGACAGTGAAATGTCTGTGATCCACAAAGCCATAGTTGATGTTTTTCAATTTAAGATGACTGTTTCGATCTAGACATTCTTTTTCACAGAAGCAGAATCATATGATAGCAGGGAAAGCTATTGGCGTGTGCCAATCCTCAGCATTAATTTCTATTGAAAATTGTCTGATTATGCCTTGAATCCCACTGATTTCCATAAACGCAGGGCTATTCTTGGGCAGGAACGCACAGGAACGGAGTTCCGGCTGGCTCCCGAGTTGGCCATGCCCAGCAGGAACTCATTAGCATAATAGGCCACACCCAACATCAGAAACTCATTAGGATTGGCTACATTAGGGGTGTGTGGCCTAATATGCAAAGGAGTTCCTGCTACAAAAAAGCCCTGGGTTTTCTTCAACAAACAAGGTAAACAGAATAAGAAGCAAAAGGTGGGTGTGGCTGGATGAGCACACTTCTGGTAACATGGGGGTGTGGCCTAATATGTGCTGTCAGGGGTGTGGCCTAATATGCTAATGAGTTTCTCCTGTTGGGTGTGGCCTATTATGCTAATGAGTTCCTGCAGGGCTTTTTCTACAAAAAGAGCCCTGCATAAGCGAATCCATAATCATTCAAACCAAGTACTTTACTCCGATTTCTGTTGGACTGTGGAATGCATAAACCCTTTTAATCAGTAAAGGGACACTGTCATGTGTGCAGCCACAACAAGAACTTCAAGAACCTTATGTGAGTAGATACAAATCCTTGAAATAAACTCACAATACAAATAACCCCCTCCTACCCTTATATAGTCTCACTGATGATGGTTAAGATTTGAGGAAAGTGGACAGTTATGCTTCGATCAGAGTTCATATCTATTGATAGTTTATCTGCAGACCTTTTCAGACATTGCCTTCAGGGGTATCCAACTGTGTGTGCTGGGTGTTAGTGCTCTCTAAAACCCTCCTGGTACATGGCAGTCGCCATTTGTACTGAAACAGTCACTCACTGCATGTATTGTCCTGGCATTTGTACGTACATAATTTGCACTGTAATCTTTACAACAGCCTGGGAAGGTAGGCCAGTATTGTTACTGAAAATAGGAGGTTAAGGCTGAGACAGAAAGGCTTGCCTGAAGCCAGTTGATGGCAGAGGCTGCGAATAAGCAATTTTTGTCTGAGGCCACCTACTGAGTTGATGACAAAGGCTAGGACCGAGCAGCATGTTTGCAGGGCTGGCCTCAGCTTATTTTGCACCCTAGGCGAGGATCCCTTCTGGCGCCACCACCACCCCCATGCACCCACCAATTTTCAAAAATAAATGCATTTTAGGAAGAATGAAAAACACAAATAATCAAGAAACTCCCAGACTACGGGGCCAGGTGCAGCTTGGTGCCCCTAAGGGCCAGGCCACTCTAGGCGATCGCCTAGTTTGCCTAGTGAGTGAGCCAGCCCTGCATGTTTGAAGCCACCTAGTGAGTTCCTGGCAGAAGTCCGGAAAGAGCAGCTTGTCTGAGGTCATCTAGTGAGTCAATGGCGAATAGGAGATCTGAGAACTGTAGACCTCCTAGATCGCAGTCCATTCTCTTAGCCACTTGTGCTGTACCATCTCTAAATTATTTGCCTTCATTATGCTTAAATCATATTAGGGGAGAGATGAATAGTAATAACATACTACTTGCTTTCAGATGTGGGTAGGAAGTGAATGTTGACAGAAAATCTGTAATCTTTTGATGCAACTTTTGCACTAAATTGTAAAAAAGAGAACTGTATTGAAACGTAATACCTAATGCAGACGAAATATTATGTAACAATAACAATTATAAAAATTATATTCACAGTGAAGTGTAAGATCGCAATGGTCAATAGGCTGGCTTTCAGGAAAGTGTTAATTCCTTCTTAGTGGCTTACCATAGTTGGGTTTAGGGACTTTTCCACATAGAGCCTTTTTACCATTTTCAGTGAATAAAAAGAACTAAGTTTGGAGGTATCTGCTGTTAGAGTTTGGAAGCCAAATGGAACATCTTTGACATCTTCTAGATGAAGGCCCTGTTAAGCAATAACATTTCAGATTAAACACAGCTTCCAGCATGGATTTCTGAAAGTACAGCTTTTCCAGTACAATCAAGCCAAATAAAAGGGAACATGTTACCATCTATATACCATTAGCCATGTGTGGCCGCCATCTGCAGATACACAAATCCACAGACTGAGGCCACATGGAGGCTGAACAGATCTTTCTTCAAAATCTGAAATCAAATTTAAAAAAAAATTAAAGGGGGGGTTGTTCTGCTTATGCCCAGAACAACACAGGGAACCACCGGAGCTCCTTGTCAATGCTAGCAGCTACTCCGGGCTCAGTACGCCAGACACCCACAACCGCGTGGACCCGGGTGTGGAGAACGAGAAGGCCGGCAGCTGCTGCAGCTTCAGCCGCAGCAGAGAAGGATGCCGGCTGCTGCTCTGAGCCCAAGAGCGGTGGTGGTGACTGCCACCAGGTGCTGCGGCTCCAAGAGGAAGCAGAGAATGCCAGTTGCCACTATGGGTTTGGATGCAGCGGTAGCAGACGCCAGCCACAGCTGTGGACCTGGGTGCAGTGGTGAAGAATGCTGGCGGCTGCAGGCTTTGTGGTAGGTGGTGGGGCTGGGAGCCTGACCAGCCTCAGCGAAGGGGGAGGATATGGGATCCCCCCCTATGTGTCCTGCAGGCCCACCTCTTGTTATATCTAATTCTGAACAGTGGCCTCAGATTGTCGATCAAAACATCCACACAATAGGGCTACGAGCAGAAGGGAGTACTTTTGGTACAAAACAGGAGGAAGCCCCTGGTTTGCAGGAAAATATTAAAAAGTGAAGGTGTGTATTTTAAAAGACCCTGAAGTCATATGTGCAATGTCAGCTTCTTTAAGAAAGAATTCTAGGCTATATGACACCCCCCCTTGCCACCCAGTTTGCACAGGCAAAAAAATGGGCACAGCCATGCACCATTTGTCCTTCTCTGTTCTTGTATTCCATCCGGTAGTTCCCTGAGGATATCTACTGCTAAATTAGGCCAAACTTCTGCCATAATCTCCTGCTTAACATATAAATATATACATAAGGAAGTATTGTTTAATATATGTAACGGGGACAATTCATCTTACCAAGGATCAAAGCTACAAAAAAACCTGAGCAGTGTTAATAGTTGCACCTCCCAAATTCAAATCAAAACACTTACCTGCTTCATTTGGGCCGCTGTGTCACCCTTAGCAGCTTTATATGCGAGAGCCAGAGAAGTCGAAGTGCAAAGGGGAGCGAAGATAATATTGGCCAGTTTATCCTGTTCACTCAGTTTTTTGAATACGTCAACTGCAAAAGCGGTGGTGGCAATCTGGATGGCTTCCATGGTGGTGGTTCTGGCAATCAACCAAATAACCTGTCAGTCTTACATATTAATAAATACCACAGTCCATTACGAGTGAAGCTGTTTAGACAAATTGACTTCACTGGGACTAGGCACCGTGGGAAGGAAAGTCTAAAGACACCCCCCTCCCCAGCAGTTTGGTATAGTGGTTAAGTGCGCGGACTCTAATCTGGGAGAACTGGGCTTGATTCCCCACTCTTCCACATGCAGCTGCTGGATGACCTTGGGCAAATCATAGTTCTGTCCAGTGTTCCCTCTAAGCTGAATTAGTGTGAACTAGCTCACAGTTTCTTAGCCCCTGGCTCACACATATTTGTCTTGGCTCAGGAAGGATGTCTCCAGAGCAAACTAATTTATGCAGCAGCCAAATTGCTCACTCACAACTTTAATGCCAGTAGCTCACAAAGTAGAATTTTTGCTCACAAGACTCCACAGCTTAGAGGGAGCATTGGTTCTGTCAGAACTGTTCTCTCAAGGACAGTTCTCTCAGAGCTCTCTCTCAGCCCCACCTACCTCACAGGGTGTCTGTTGTGGAGGAAAAGAAGAAGAAGAAGAGATTGGATTTATACCCCGCCCTTCACTACCCAAAGGTGTCTCAGAGTGGCTTACAAACTCTTTTCCCTTCCCCTCCCCACAACAGACACCCTGTGAGGCAGGTGGGGCTGAGAGAGCTCTGACAGAAACTGCTCTTTTTCAAGAACAGCTCTTATCAGAACTATGGCTTGCCCAAGGTCATCCAGCCAGGTGCAAGTGGAGGAGTGGGGAATCGAACCCGGTTCTCCCAGATTAGAGTCCGCACAACTTAACCACTACACCAAACTGGCTCTCAAGAGAGGGAAGGAGGTGAAAGGCACCCTGGGATACTCCTTCCCACCTCCCCTCCTCTGAGCTCAGTGTCAAGAGATTGGTACCTTCTCATCGGCCTGTATCTTCCCAACTTATGAAGGCTTTTTAAAAATTTAAATGAATATAGCAACAATTTAGAGAAGCACATACTATTAGGAAACTACTACAATAAAAACATAACTAAAAACACACAAAAGACCCACAAGAGCAATAAAACCAAACAGCTATTCAAGATATAGCTGTAACCTTCAAATTATCTGGAAGTGCCTTTTTCAGCGTACTATGTCTTTCCATGTATTCAAGAAAGGGAAACCAACATTCCAAAAAATCTGAATGAAACTCTGGATCCACTGCCAAGGATATTGCTTCTGATATTTTGTCCATGACCAGGTCTTCCCGTAACTTATTAAACCACATTTTTTAAAATATAAGTGTTTTTATTATTAAAAAAGTTTCAACACAGTACAACAATAACAGACGTATAACTTCTAGCCGCATTAAGTGTCAACTACACTCCCTCAATATCCCAAAAACATACCAACATTAATACATTCCATTTAGAAGGAGACATCAGACACTGAAAATCAGAAATATAACAAATCCTGATAATAACTGTTCTGAAGGAGAACTTCAGCTTTTTTACTTTTACTACAGGAACCAGGGCTCTTTTTGTAGAAAAAGCCCAGCAGAAACTCATTAGCATATTAGGCCACACCCCTGATGACACATCTCATTAGCATATTAGGCCGCACCCCCATGTTACCAGAAGTGTGCTTATCGAGCCACACCCACCTTTTGCTTCTTATTCTGTTTACCCTGTTTGTTGTCAAAACCCAGGGCCTTTTTTTGTAGCAGGAACTCCTTTGCATGTTAGGCCACACACCCCTAACGTAGCCAATCCTAATGAGTTTCTGCTGTTGGGTGTGGCCTATTATGCTAATGAGTTCCTGCTGCGCGTGGCCAACTCAGGAGCCAGCCGGAACTCCGTTCCTGTGCGTTCCTGCCCAAAAATAGCCCTGCAGGAAACCAAACAGCTCGAAATGACTTCTGGTGAGAAACTATTTTGCCATATATAAGGTGTTCCCAGAGTTTATTCTGCCAACAGTGTAACGTGGGTTGATTATTTTTCCATTTTTGAGCTATTAAACCACATAACTGATGAGGCATTTCCCCAATGCCTAGCCACTAAAGTCTTGGCTGCCACCAACCTATAAGAAATGAGATATTTCCTGACAGCAGGGACATTTGTCCCCTCCCATAAATTAAGCAAGTATGAAGTAAAGTCTGACAGGTCACTTATGCTCCCTTCCGCTCTCTGCTCCCCCATGGGGAGAACTGCCCCTGAGGAGGCCAGAGGAGTGGCTGTCTCCAGTCCTTGCACTAGGCTGGCAGACGCCATTTTCCCCACTGCCCTCACGCCACCCCTGAGCCATCAATCAGCTTGGCGGAGCGTCGGGCAGCCTTGAAGCGGCCTGCTACTAGGCTGGCCAGCTGGATCACTCCCAGTGTCTCCTTTTCCTTCTCCCGCAGCCGTTGCTGGTCACGGGTGGGGTCTCTCTGCACCCCGACAGGTTCTGCACTGGATTCTGGCCTTAATGACTAAACCCATACTTTAGAAGGCTGCAGCCACTGAATTGGCTGGTTAGTTGAAACCAGTGTGAAAATCAGCACCTACCTCACACCCACATATTTAATTAATTACACGGAATAGGTTGAAGGCCCTCTGTATCCCCTCGGGGCTGCCAGATTGCAATTGTTCCCGCAAGGACAGAATACACAGCCGGAATAACTTCCTCTTCTATATAATTCTGAAAGGTAAAGCCTCCTATTGCTCCCTGTGTCCTCTCGGCTCCTGACCCACAGGGAGTCAAAACTGGATAGCTTCCTGGAGAAGTGGTGTTGTATAAGGACTAACAACGCAACCATAAGCAGATTTACAACCTCCACTGGAAGACTACGGGGAGGGGGCTCACCAGTGACTTGATGACATCACCAGCGATCTGATGATGTCATTTCCACCATAACCAGAAGTGATGTCGCTGTGTCACCAGTAGCAGACTAACATTTGCAGGGGTCATTTCGTAGAAAAAGAGCTAGGGGAACTCATTAGCATAACTCATTAGCATATACCACACCCCCTGACATCAGGGGCCCGGCGGTGGACCTGCAAGGCCGGCAGGAGTGCAAGGAAGCCCCGCCAAGGCCCTCCCTGGCCCCAGGCAGGCAGGGGTGGGGAGAGGCGGGGGGGAAGCAACTTACCCTCCCTCTTCTCCTGCCTCCTCCTGGCTGAATGAGGGCTGGAAGCAGGGCAGCCGGATGCAGGGGCGGGGCTTCATCCTGTGCCCCGTCCCCCCGCACCTCACCTGGGGGAACTGTGATCCCCCCCGAATCGACCTCTGAACATTTGGCCAAAACTCTATGGCTTAAACATAGAGCAACATGGTGACGTTTCTTGCAGTTATGGGGGAAGTGATGTCATCCACAGCAGGACGCTGCCGGTCGCCTCCCATTCTCCCCATTTTGCTTCTGCTGCCCAGCTGAGCAATAGCAGGAAGGGCTAGTGGAAGGCAAGAAGTCTCGTGCCATAACGGAAGAACTGGCGACGCTGTCCTAAGCCCATTGACTTCAGTTGGTTTCAAAGGAAACAACTGTTCTTAGGATGGCACTGTAAAAGACAGAGGGTCAAACCAAGAAGTCCCTGATTTTATTCTCGCTTCTTGGATGAACTGGCAAGTAGCCTCAGGGAAGCCACAGCTCACCATAAGCTCTTCTAGGATAATAATAGCCACCACCTACAATTGGAAGAACTTACAATTCAATACTGTATGAAGTACGGTTGCCATCCCCCCAGTGGGGCCAGCGGATACCCTGATATCGGCGGGCCCAATACAACACCAGCCAGCTGGACAGCGGGGGAAGCCCCACCCCCCCAAACAGCAGCATCCTGTAGGGACGCTGCGAGGCAATGATGTCACCGGTAGTGACATCATCATGCTGGGGCCATTGCACGGCAGCACTCTAGCATTTGGGGGGAACTCTATGGTTACCATAGAGTTTTTGCCCCAAACACCAGTCTTTAGCATTCCCAAACTTATTTGCCCTACCGCCCCCTTTTCAGAAAAAAATTACTCAGCGCCCCCCTGGAAATCTAACTTCAAGAAGTGGACAAAAAGATGCAGTTTGTGGATCTGCACCTGGATGGTTCCAGCCCACTGGATCATTCTAGCGCCCCCTGGGGGCGGTATTCCCCACGTTGGGAACCAGTGCGCTAGAGCGTTGCCACACAACAGCCCTAGTGTGATGATGTCACTACCGGTGATGTCATCACACTGCATGTGCAGAAGAGTCCCGATGAAGAATCAGGAGCCCCCTGCCAGATGAAAGGTGAGACCTGCAAACCCTAACATGAAGCAATTTGAAATACAGATGATGATGATGATGATGATGATGATGATGATGATGATGATGATGATGATGATGATGATGATGATTTAAATTTCTGAATCGCCCCATCTCTGAGTACGCAGGGCTCTGGGCGATTTACAATAAATTAAAACATACAAAAACACAGCTTAAAATCAGCAATCCATCAATCCCAAAATTTCACAATCTTCAGGTGGCATCTATGATTTAATCTAAAACCTGCTCTGGACTGTTCTTCCGTCTCATGGGCAGGTTAAGGAGGAGGCCAAAGTGGGCAAGGTGGAAAAAAGAAAGAAAAGAACATCTGTTCCTACATTTTATGCCACCTTTCCTCTAGAGCTCAGGGTGGCATGCATGGTCCTCCTCTGCGTTGCCAGTGCCAGACTGGGAAATTCATGGAGATTTGGGTGTGGTACCGGGGGGGGGTGAGTTTGGGGAAGGGAGGGAGCTCAACTGGGCTGTGATACTGATACCGTAGAGCCCGGCATCTGAAGTTGCCATTTCCTCTAGGGGAACTGACCTCAGAAGTCTGCAATTCAATTCTACTTCCAGGAAAAGTCCACATGCCACCTCCTCTACTTTACCCACACAACAATCTGATGGAGGTCAGCCTCCATAGAACGTCTGTCTGATCTCCCATAGTACACAGCTCCTCCTAACCTAAATACTGCATCTTTTTTAATTAGTTCCCATTCCCATTATCCCCTATTTCTTCGGTTCTTT